TGAATTGGGCTACATAAATTTAACAGTTCCACGCATGTTTGCTTAAAGCAAAGTCGCCCATTACAACAAAACAAACCAGTTAACCTCGATAACGAAAAGTGATCGATCGGTAACCAATATTTTTCACAAGATTTCCTTATACCCATTTATTTTTTCACCAATGTAAATGTACTCACACTGAGAGATCACACCACTCTACCAAAATACAGAAGAATCAAAATCTTGGAATTGAAAAGCGAAAATTTAATTTCAGGTTGTTGCAACATTCAAATTTTAATGTTCCATATTTGGTACCAGTTTAGAGAACGCTCATCCCAGCTGTCATGCTATTGTTAGTAATAGCGTTAAATGAAACACACCTGGTACTAACCGCCACTAATCTTATTTTATATTAATTTAGATTAAGTTAAAATAAATTAGGTCTCGTTATAGCGTCGTCGTTTATTGCCTATCTCAGACTAGAGAAAGGTGGGGCAATTACCTCACCCAAGATAGTGTGGGGCAACAACAGGCTGGGACCGCACCACTAACTACGACACGCTTTGCTGCATCCCAAATAAAATCTATGTTGTTTGCTCACCCATAAAAAGCTTTGATAATGTAAGATGAATTTACTTTGTAAATAACTGATGTAATAAACTCTGACTTATATGCAAATATGAAAATACCACTGCGACCTAAATTTTTTAGTGCTGTTCTGTCTATATCGAAAACCTCTATACAAGAAAAGATTTTTACATGGAAATGAGTTTATAGTAAATCGAGTTGAACATGGTGAGGGTAATTTGAATTGACAGTTAGATTGGGATGATTAACTACTATACGTAGTCTAGGACCTATTTTTGGCGGTTCTCAACGGCAAAAATCACCCCATAGGTACTCTATTTATGGGGCGCGCATGTGGCTTTCGATATATGGGATATTTTTAGACTTTAGGAGTTAAATATATCGTCAGTTTGATAATAATTGTAAATAAAAAATAAAAATTGGGCCTTCATACTCCTTTGTGTAATAACTGACTACAATACTTTGGGCACAATGGATTTTTCCAGTATTGGCTTCTTTTTCGCTTCGTCACAATGACTAATAGGTGATAGATGACGTAACAATTGCATGTTGGGCAGCCGTCCAGACGTTTTTTCACTCAGATAGATTTTCAAGCATGGCACTACAAATTGGATACATTTGTCAAAGACCATTTTGTCTTCTAAGGAGTCTTGATTTAATACCTGTAATCTAAAATTACTGCCGAAAAACCTGCGCTAGACTGACGTAAAATCTTTTAAAATGGCAGATGGTTAAACTTTTTCAATCAAATTGATGGCTATGAACATGTAAAACAGATTGTAAGCGCTATTTTCAATACACTTGAAATAAGCATAAAAAAATTTTGCAATAGAAAATCATAGGAACGATTTGGGCTGGCGGGCTCCATTGCTGTTTCCGGGTAAATTAAAGTGGGGTTCGCTATCCATACTCATGGTTTCATGTATCGAGGAAACTTCTAAATATAAATGATTGGTGGATTCTGCTTTGGGTTACACAAATTTCTTGATACTCAAATGCTTACAATATGTAATCGAGTTATTTTGAATAGGCAAAGCAAGAACAAGTTCCAACCATATCCACCACGAAAGTAAATACGCCTTTATTATAACATTGGACGTAGGCAATCCTCTGAGATTGTCCTATAGACGTATACTGTTTGACGGTTTCCTTGACTTTGCGTTGGACGTCAAACACTCTTTGTCTCGCTAACACCTGTACATATTGCTTAACCCGAACTCGAGTAACCCCTTGGAGACATTGATTTATATCTAACACTACCTTATTTCAAAAAAGTCATTACAATATTAGCATATTAATTGCAATTAAAAGTTATAGGGTGTTCTTTTTATATGTCGTGGGCCATGCGAATGGGAGTATTCATAATTTTCGGGGGAAAATTATACTCAGTTAGATTGAATTCAAGTAAAAATAACCGGATTTTTATGCTAGTGTATATATATGTATCGGTATGTACATAAGCCGTGTCTATATTGCTGGATAGTTTAACCGTAAAGTGTATAGTTAAATATTAATCAAAACTGTACTTTTCAAAAGTCAACAAAATTACCACAATGAGAAAAATGTTGGCCTGTGAATTTCTTTGTCTTCTATAACTCAGTTTTTGGTGAAATTTGATTTAAAAATATTCCAATGACCTACAGTAATAATACGATACTATACTCATTTTGTCAATATGTTGACTGAATCAATCTTCTCCCGTGAGAAGTCAATTCGATTAATATGCAAACACCAAAAACAAATACTGTTAATGGGCATTATAACAGCACGCAGCTGAAATGACTTCCAAATAGCTTGACCATGAAAATAACTATGGTTTGTGGAGCCATTCCCCGGCTAAGCCACCAAAACGTAGTAAACGTCCAAGTGGATTCTGATGTAGCGAATCGTTTTGTACGTTGGTGTGAAGCATAGGAAATGTGTCAAATGAGTTCGCGCTGTCTATACATTATTCAAGTAAATCACCCCAAAACCCCGTATTACGGAGAGGTCCTGATTTGATTTTTTATACCCTGCAAGGTGTTAAGGTTGACTGACAAAACCCAGCTGTAATTTTCCATCTCCTGCCTATATACTCCTCAGTAAACGTTTTAGGCATTAACTTCCAATGTGGATCAGTGGTAAGACTTCGTGGTGTATGCCTTGTTTCTGGGGTAACTAAAATTTGCATATTATAATTCAAAGACGAAATTAGGTATGAAATTGCGTTGAACGTGTTTTTAGTAAACAGTAAAACTTTGAAGAAAAGTTATATTCAAATATGGAAAGAGTTTCATCAAATTTCTTCTTTTTGTTTCAATTAAAAATCTTGGTAATTTAACATGCAAAATCGAGTTATATTTATGTAATGCGCCGCTGATGTTGAATACGTCCTCAGTGAAATTTTTATATTTTGGCGGGATTGGTTGGAAGTTGAAACTTAAGTCTCTGTTTATCTCGATGATGTCAGGTAGAAAATTTCATTCAAGACACAACAAAACACTCAGCATCCCGTTGTTTCATTTAAAAAAATAACGCTTGGACGACTCTCTGATACATTATAAATCTTTCGCTTTGCTGCATCAGAATGGCGTCACATTTGATGCTTCTGAATGACTTATTCTTGGGTCGAATGAGTGTACTCAATCCTCCGATTGACTTGGCTGGAAAATGAAAGCACGGTTGAAATTATGCTCATGTAATAGTATTAGCCATACCCGTGGTCCATCACGCTACCACTACAATATTGGATGATATGTATATAGTAAAGCCATAGTTAAGAACAGGTATGTCATTATGCAACCACGCTTCCGCATAGAGCAAGGGCCAGGAATGGTAACGGGGAAAGTGATCATGGTGTGATAATACACAAAGTGTTTTACACAAAAAATTTCATTCCCATGTGATTTTAGTATATTTTACATTTTCGTTAAAAAAGGGTGTGTATGCCAGATGGTATATCAATTGCAAAGCTCATTTTCCGAATGCAGAAATCACGTTGTGGCAAAAAATAAATCGAATTGCGCCATCGCAAGTAAGACAGCAATTCATCTCGTTATGGTTAAATGGCAATTCCGTGCAATACAAAAGCAGTATTTCGGAAATCTAGATAGTCCAGGCTTAAAACGCACTTAATCAACGAATACACAGCGATCGAAAGACCAGTGAGATCGCGGACAAAGCCATAAAGGAGGGGTTACCCCAAACTGTTGTACAAATAATGACGGCCTAAAATCTTTATTGTGATATCGCGAATAAGAGAGAATGATTAAAATAAAATTCAAATTTCATGTTTGAGGAGTAGCTGTGACTCGCCCTCACAATTTCGAGAGAGAAACATTTCAGACGCCCACATAGCTACGAAATGGCTCTCAGGTTATTTCCCTCGGAATGCGATCAGGTGTATTCAGCTAGGACGGCAATTCAAATGCTTATTTGTTGTGACTGGCGCGTTCACATTCAGTCGGATAAAGACCTTCAAGATGTAAGGGTCTTTGATTTCTCGAGAGTCAGTGGGTAATGAGCCGCTTGAAACAAGTTTAATTTATTGAGACGAGCTATTTCAATTGGAGGAATGAAAAGACATATCAAAATTATTTCAAATATTATCTGACACGGGTATTCGTAGTTTATCGTTAGCGGACAGTTTATTGATGGTCTAGATACGGAAGTCAAATTCATTGCTCAACATGGAAATATTACCTATTTTATATAAATTTTGTGTGTTAGAAAAAGTCGTGAACAAAAATGGAAATTTTAGGTAATTAACAATATTATTCATGCTATCTTAACCATGATAAAGATAAATCATGCTAGTCTTACCCATATGTTATTGTACAATGCAAACGTATTTCCAGTCAAATTTACTTCCCCGCGTATGATGCATACAGTGAAGTTGGTTTGAGTCAATGAATAGAAATACGCTTTGCAAGGTTGACTAAATTCAAATAACAAATAAAAATTAAAATCGAATAAAGGTCGTCATTTAGGTATTGAAAACGGTCATAGGTTGACATAGGCAATGATTGTAGACTTTTGGAATGATTGCAATATTTCTTAAATTCCATGCATTATTTTTGATTGATAAAATGTATGTCACAGGTTAATGACGAGAAACGTAATATAGTGATCACGCTGGTTTTTCGCTGAATATTAGAGTTTATAAAACTATAATAATTGCTTGTCCATGGCCTTGTTCGTAGCGAAAGGCAAGTAAGCGTCTTACATATTAAAAATTGACTTCGCTGCTATGGTTGAACAAATACTTTTATCATGTTTGGCCAAACAAATTTTTCATTCAAACATGTCACCTAATCATGAAGTTCCATCGAGCGAATGTGCTTATAAATAGAATGGATGACTCATTTGTAATATTTGCTTAATTAAGTGATATAGAAATATTAGTGTTTACTGTGTATTCAAAATGGTAATAGCTGCCATAATCTTTTTATTTCAATGTATCTTTTTATTAAAGTTTATAATAAATACCGAAATACGGCATACGCATATTTTAAGTTTGTATATTTCATAAAGAAAAACACTTCATGGATTTCATTGAAGTACCAGAAATTGCAAATGTTGTAACCGTCGAAGGAAGTCCTTGCATGTCACCGGTAAGTTATAAACCATTAAATACACTCTAAAGTTTATGAATTAAATAGTTTGACAAAATCTTGGAAATACAAAATATCAAATTTTACAATTGTACAATGCCGTACTTCACACGGCCCCATTATCATCTGAAAATATTTTCTATACATAGGCATTAGACTGTGAAGATCGTCATGATGTTGAATTTAAATGAGCTTTTGAAAAACTGGTAAAAAAATTCAATTTACTTTAGATGGACCAGGATCATTTGATCTACCAACAACTTTATAGCAGCGGTGAAAAGTCAGGAGATATAAAAGGTAACAACTTCAGTCCATAATTTTTACTTTTGTTTGATTTCAATTTTCCCGCTCTGTCTCCCGCGTTCTAATATCCGGTTTCGAGTGATGTGACGTACGGTAAATTGCTGATGAACCGTCTGACCGAAAGATTTTTTGTTGCATTCAATTAATATTTATTTTTAGCATTTAAAAAAGCAAAATTCACATTCACAATGACAGTAAAATAGATAAAGTCATTGTTTTGAACGTCGGGATTGAGCAGTGGTTTCCAATCCGCGTCCCACCGGACGAATTTGTGGTCCACAAGAAGTTTGTTATTCAATGTTCGGCCTGCGGCAAATATAATTTAAGGCCCCAAAAGGCATCTAGTTGGACATGGCTGGTTTTGAGGTTTCTGTCCGGGATCGCTGCAGTTGTAATGCATTCCACGATTTTAAAAAATTCATTTAATTTGACAATTAAAATAACAATTTTGCAGGTTATGAATGTTATGGAGATTCGCCAGATCATGGCTATGAAAGCGACACGATTAATCAGAAAACCTGTTTCAACGACTTCACAGAGGTAATTTTTTTCTAATTCACCAATGAAAAGGTCAGAGTACAACATGTTGAATGAATACAACTAGGTAACAAAATACATTATCCATATTGACACATTTTTCAATTGCATCCCGAAAATGGAATTTATATAAAAGCAAGCAACAAAAAGTAGTAAAATTTGATTCGTTGCTTTTCAGGGAAGATTCACAGACATTCTGACGCCATCGACTGGCACCTACAATTGCACATCTGCACCTATGCTGGGCAGCAATGGTAAATGCAGTTAGCTTTAATGAATGATACATTACAGAAATTTTAAACAAGTTTAAATCTTTGAAGTAAATATGAGTCATATAGTCTTGTTCTCAAAATCATTTGAATGAACAAGCAAACGGGATGTACGATTTTCGTCCATTCTAACTAAAAGATTTTTCTTTCAGTGTCCACCATGATGCCGGTAACGACAATAGACGAGGGACCAGCCCCTCTAAAAATCGAGCCATCTGACGACTTTGCGGGCTGGACGTCTGGCACAGAGTCATACTCGGAGCTTGACTACATCGACTTAACTATCGACAGCCTTTCAGCATTATCCTCAACATCAATCGCTAATTATGACGTAACAACGACGTGTAACATGACGTATGCTTCACCACAGCTTTTTCAGCAGCCCGTTTCGAAATGTGAACCCACACGATATGGCCCTACAAAGTTGTACCTGAGACCCAAATTCCGGCCTACTATACACCGTCAGAATCGCTCAACAGTTGTTCACCCTACGACGACGCGTTGTTGGAAATCTCAGACAACGAACAAGAGACCGCATTGCCATCAATTAATCCCGCCCAAATCAAACAGACACCAGGTAAGAAATTGTAATTTACAATCCTTTCGAATTTAAATTAATAAACTGCTCTCCAAATCGATATTTAAAACGGTATTGAGCACCTTTCAAATTACCCTGGGTTAATTTATGAGGCAAAAACCATGGCGCTTACCTCACTATGAATCACATGTGCTAATTGGTCACACATCTGAAGCCGGTATTATCGTTTATGTATATATCATTGTTAATGAATTGTGGAGTTTGTTCTTCTGGTCATCATCACACAAATCATTATTTTAAATGTGGTATATTCACAACCCACATACTGTTTTACGTGTTTGAATCCAATGAAGTTTGAAAACCATTGTCACTGATATTTATTGCCTCGCAATACTGTTGTGGCGTTGTTATGAGGTGTATTCCAAACATGACCTAGCAGTTTAATAAATAGTCGCGTGGCGAAATATTTGTTTAGAGATCCATGAACATACACTTGCATTTAAGTTAGCCAAGCGTGCACCGCACTAGGATTTGACCTCAGGTAATTTGCCACAGTTTGAATTAATTATTCATCGTATTTTTATCTCTTGTTTAGAAACTACAGCTCCGAAACGAAGGAGACGGAAGACTACGAAACAACCAATTCTTTGGAGGTTTTTACTGGACGCGCTCAATCAACCAGAAAAATACGGCAAAATGATTCAATGGGTTGATATTAAACTGGGAACCTTCCAGGTAAGTCAGTACTTTATAGGCCTAATGCTTATTTCTTTGTGTGAATAAATATCTTGAATAGTTTGAATTTGCCGCAATGCGTTATTATGTTCTGCCAACGAGCCAATTGCCCTTTCAGCGACGAAACTGTTAAATGCGGTAAAATGACAAGCCAAACTCGCAAGCTATTGGTCTCAGATCATCGTAAACCGCCAACTACTATATTCAGAACCACCGCGACTCAGAAATCGAGTTGCGCACGAGGGAAATCCCCTACATATGGCTAAGTACTCAGCAACGTTGCTTTCATTACTGCTGCGAAGTATATATATCAAAAGCATTCAAGCAACCATATTTTAACGTGATTATTTGAGTGCGATATTTTGTATAGCCAGTTTCAGCCAGAATTCATTACCTGAAATATGTCTGTTTATAATTACAAGAATATTCATACCAATTCAATACAAATGTTATTATTAGAATGTAACAGAACAAATTTTCACGGGGTCAAAGGTCGGCGAAAATTCACTGCTGCTGTACTAACTAATTGTTTGCCGCAAGTAAATAACTAAGTTTACCGGAGAAACTAAACTTTCCATGACATAATTTTATTTCAACAACAGGAACGCAAATGCAATAAAATGTCCAACAACCGGAACGCCGTTCGGTGCGTTCCAGTTGCAGCTCACTGTGTATCACTGTATAGCCCTATATTTCATACGTGTATTCTGACAAATAGGCCTCTCATGGAAAATATGTATGACAGATTCCTATTTTGCCAGTTTCAAATGCGGTTTAAAAACATTGAAGTAACATCTAGTTATATTGAAGCTGCTAACCGACAAAAACACATGCTTATTTTTGTGCCCTAAAAAGATCGTGGAATTCCGCGGTGTACAAAATTGTTTCGGATTTTTATAATTGCGTTTGTTTATTACGCTGATAGTTTATATCACACAAAGTAGGACTGAAACTGGGTTCGCCACCGCGCAGTTTCGAAAGCTTTATTTGTGTGATATTCGAAGGTTGCAGCGGCATAACGATACGCTAGCTTGAACCGTTTCGTAACAAACAGCGCGAATGTTTGCCAAGTTACGTGCCCGGTACTTTTTCAATACCACTCAGCCGTGAAACTCTCGAAACTTGCAGGCAGATCCCACTGGGAAATTGGTCTGTACATTTGGCCAAGTAAAAGCGCGCTTTACGCCATGATGTGATCAGGCTATGATTTTATAATTTAAACTTAAATTTGATATTAATATGTTGTATATATAATGCGTAGACAGATAACAACAAATAATGATATGAGGAGTGAGGTAGTGGCTGAATCGAACTGATGTGAACAATTGAAAGCCATTTTATTTTTGCTCATGCATGATTTAATGTCGCTGCGTTATAACACTAACGAACCGTTACAATTCCGTTCGTACGTTGGTGTCTCCATACTTGATGTTAGCAACTCATTTTGAATTCATTGTATAACTTGTAGCTTCATATGTAATCGACAAGAGCATATTTTTGAATAATGCTCGAAAATAAATTTCCTTATCGCCCACTAACGGTTATAAAATTTTATTTTAGTTCACGTCGCGCCACAAGGAGGAACTTTCAAAAGATTGGGGTATAGCGAAGAAAAACCGATGCACAATGACGTATCAAAAAATGGCACGAGCGCTTCGAAACTACATCAACAGGGGGGAAGTGTTACGAAAAGTAAAAAGAAAACTTCAATACACATTCCTACCAGAATTCTACAGGAGCATACATCATATGGTGCGACAATAGACGAAACAACTCCGAAACTGAATATTAGCCCAGAGACAATCTCTGACATGCTGAATGGTGCTCGGATGGAATGGTGCTCGATAGACTTGAAAACATCAGATATGTTTTTTTACTAAAAGGTGTACGTTGTATGAGATTTGCAAGACAGTGGAACTGTGACACCTCGCCAAATATCATCACCAAAGCTGTCGCTCTACCCTAGCGAAAACGAGACTGCTGTCGCTGCTGAGCGATATTCATTTCTATTCTACAATGTTACTTTGTACTCATTCAGAGCAAACTGCTGGTTCACTTCCATGAATTGCTGTAACAAATAGAATAAATTTTATGAAGACAAGCTCAAGTTTTCAGCGTCATAATGTAAATTTATAGGGCGATGGTATTGTCTTTATTTTATGTTCCAGAAATAAACTTTTTCGATTTGTTTTTAGTTTCCAAAAGTTCATTATTTTATTATTTTTCAACTAATTTTTTTCCCCCTCTATTTTGCTTTTTCTGATGTTCTTTTTTAGTTGTTACTAACAACCTCTTGTATAGAAATGACGAACTGATTTAATGCCTAAAAATTTCGTATATTTTGTGCGTTGCTCATGGATATAATTGATGCCTCAAATTTAAGTATTTGAAAGAAACAATAGGAAGAAATAATAACGTGATGTGTCAAGAGTAGATCAGTCATGAAAATCATTCATTTTCCATACAAACTTATATATACCAGAATAAAATATTGGTAAAAACTGACTGAATCTTTCATTGATGTACTGAGTTCATTTAGCTCTAGAACTATTAGAACGTCATTGGTTTTGTACTAAGCCCCCTTTTCAAGGAAATTTGAATTTACCCAGTCTGTGTTCAATTTCATGGGGAAACACATGTTTACATATAATTAATTTCATCACGTAAATAATTATTGAATAGCCACAAAAAAACACGCTCCATTGTTTTAAATCAAACGTTTTATCAAAACCATCCTTTCTTGTATGAAGATTACCATAACATGACTATTATGAGAAAATTTATATTGTATGAGATGTAAGCTATACTAAAAAATTGAACTTTTATCGCGATTTGAATTTTCAGAAGTTTGTATTTATTCTTTAATTTTAATTTAAGCGTGTTTTCGACACAAAACTGTTGTTAAATTCGATGAAATAAATTAAGGAAAAACTATCTTAATTAGTCTACAACCAAGGCATTTAAAGGTTTCACTTGGTTGGTCATGCTTAGTTATATTTCCACTTTATTTTTCCTATTTAAAATCTGCTCATTTTTATCTATATAATTGCATTTTATTTTCTGTACAATATGCTTACTCCTTCAAATAAAAACAAACTAGATATTGACTTTCGTATATTTTTTGTGTTAGGTCTGTTTTATTCGATAAAAAACAGTAATATTAGAGCAAAGTTTTAGTAAAAAAAATTACGTTCAAAACCAGAGCCCTACAGAGTAGTAATGGAAATTAACATGATCTACTAAAAATCGACGATTTTATATTTTATTTATTTTTTATTTTAGAGAAAAGCAGGACGGAGAAGTTCCTAGATGATTGCAATATTTATAAGCAGAGCTATAAGAAGCGATAAATTTTGCAAGGGGGAAGTTAGTTCTATACCAAATATATTCCTTACTCGGACCTCCGAAAATATGCGCACCACGATGGCGCACAACCTGAACATAGTATGTTGTACCGGTTAAAATTCAGGTTGTGCGACATCTTGGTGCGCATACTTCTGGAGCACCCCTTACTTTTTTTTATTTGTTTGATTTTCTTATATTACATACAATAAAGGTACTCGTACATATACAGCCCAAGTGAGTAATTTATCTGAACATCGCTTTTCTGAGCTAGGAATTTGTTCAAAAAGATTTTGTTTTAAATCAAGTTTTGTGCCTGTATTTTTTGATACAGCTGTTTAATTTGTTTCTTGTTTCAAATAGGTTAAAATATGAAAAATAAACTTGCCCTTTTACGCCCTCTGACGCTGTAGCACAGTGGTTCTCAACCTTCTACAGACCGCGTACCACTTTACCTTTTTTTTACTATGGCCGCGTACCACCGACAAAGCCACTTTTTTGGCGTGAGGAAAAAGACACAAGAAACGTGCTATGGGAGTATTTTATAATGTGGCACTACATCCCTTGTGGCGTAACACGCAAAACGGACAAAAACATGCCCATATTGCTTCATTTAAGGTGGGCAATAGCGGGCGAGAGCGATCTCCAAAGAAAAGGACTGGTAGCGTGCCAGCGCTATGGACGTTTCCCCGACCATTGATCCCGGAAAAAGTTATCCCTATACTTTACTATTGCAAACTTTATACTTATTCTGGGAGTGTTTTGATGTGTTGGCGAATATTAACTGGTTTACGTGTTTGAAACCATCATTTATATTGAAATTATTCAACCATGAGGTACTGATATATATAGCTAAGTTTAGCCTTGTCCATCGCAGCATTTGCGAGATTCATTTTCAATTACTGCAACTAAATTAAAGCTCCGCGGAAGACATAATGACAATTAGGTTAATTAATTCACAATTATTTTCTTGAAACACAACTGAAAACTGACAAATATCACTTAAAACTCCAAAAACGAGGCAATGTTTGCAACCATGCTTGAATATCTGTTTGGGCGACAGAATTGTCTGAGCCACTGGTTGCAGAAATTGCAATTGTTACATGTTGCGTCATTATTGACTTATTGCTGATTGGTTATAGTTACGGAAATAAACAAGGAAACTGAAGCTTGGGAAAACATCCATAAACGCTCAGCGAATACATACAGTAAAAAAGATAAAGCGTTGCCGGCATATTTTAACCAACTGAAAGGTTACTTGTTGCAATAATTCAAATCTGCTCGCGTACCACTTGAAAAGCTCCCGCGTACCACTAGTGGTACGCGTATACCCCATGTTGAGAACCACTGCTGTAGCACTATGGTCATGTTAAATCACGCCACCGTTGACCCGCCAGATTCCCACTTCCCAGCAGGCGTCAAGATTTTCTGTTTTAATTGGGCCATCTTGTGTCGAACTCTAGTGGCTGCTTCGTATGCCCATAATTGTACTGAATAAATTATGATTTGCCAACGGCGGTGATCGGTACCGTAAAAGTATTTACTAAAGTTTGAGAAGGAAAAACAAAAAGTTTGATATAACTTTCTACCGGGAAATCACGCGTGTTACAGTGAAAGGTAAACTCACAGAGGAAGGACTGTGTGTATTGTAACAAAAACATTGCTGTAGTATTAGTAGATCGCATGATTGACCATTCAAACCAAAGTCAATTTGGGTTTAGATTCGTATTTCCCGGTATATACTGATGCTGATGCCGTTGCTGTTAAAATATTTTTATATGACATAGAAACCTTGCAGTAAAGCGATATGAAGAGAGCGTACCAAGTCAAATCAAAATATTGTTTCTATATTTTTGAAATTCTTATTCCAGCAGCGTGTGCAGCTGCAAAAAAGCACCATTTTTAACAAAGTTTCACTAAGGTACGAGGTGTATTTCTATAAAAAAATAAGAAAAAAATACGAACGAAAAAAAAAAGATTTAAACTAGACCCTTTTTCTAAAACAGGCTGATTTTTTTTAAATTAAAAAACAAAACCCCCATTCTGAGCACTACTTCTAAGTGTGGAATTGTGTTCCGAATCTGCACTGATTTACCGTAAATTGCTTAAGAATGGCTTGCCCTTCGTTGTTCATCCATGTATACTGTAGGACTACTATTATGATAAAATTCATCGTCATGTGATAAATCCATGCATCTGTATCAATTAACTGGTTAATATAGATCAGGGGTGTGCAACAGACGGCCCACGGGACACAACCCGGCTCGTTAATGCATTTAGTGTGGCCCTGCTACAACTTCTCGCAAAGCTGACGTTAACAAACTATGAAAAAACTCGAATGTTTTTGTGTGTAGCCCGACTAGATGTATGAAGTTGGTTAAGCGACCCGCCGACAAAAATTGTTGCACACCCCCGATCTAGATTGTTCAGTTGAAAAACGTCATTATTCGTCATTACACGCCATATCATTTATTCCTCTTATCGCCCAACCCCTCCGGTCGAACACGGATACATATGAAAATCCTATATATCCCTAATTCTATATTTTTCATTGTATCGAAAAGTATATTTTTATATGCGTTTATCCTAGCCTTTGCTCTGCTCTTTTTCACAGGACTGATGACAAGGGCTCGATTGAATATCTTTTTCGCGCAACAGAAGCCATCCTGTTGTTTCTTCTAAATAAGCTTCGTCCTTCCACTCTACTACCAATTTTCATACGAATTAAGGGAGCGTGACGGCTTTTTTCATTTTCAAAATGCATGTAGATGAATGAGTAACTTCTTATTCAAATTCTTGTTCGAAGGGATGTGTGAAGTACCCCATAAAAAGAGTAGGGCTACATATCACCAAATCTCCATCGAATGTCCACGGCAAAAATAAAATCTCAAACTACAGTGGCATATATATCACTAGTCCGAGTCCCAGCAAATCGAGCACCAAGTCAAAGCGAATCACTGCTGCTTCTATTTAGAAATCGGGTCCAACTTGGTATTATAGATTTCAAGAACGATAGTAAAGATATGGATGAACTGACAATCCTCACTGCGCGTAATGCGCTGCTCCCAATGGGACGCCATATTATTCCCAGTGCGCTGTTGATAATGCGACATTCCTAATGCGACCTCACTGTGCGTAATGCGCTACTCACAACCAGACTTTTAGGCTACCAACCCCTCTTAAAAGGTCGGGTAGAAACCAGTCTTGCAGATTGTAGCTGTGATCACTTCTAACCAGTA